TCAAAACATGACCAATATATGAGAGCCTCGTAGCTAACTATTGTGAGACGCCATAGGAAACTATGTACTACCAGAATAGCCCATATCTTAAGATGATAATTGCTAGAGATAACTCACAGTTGTGCCGATCATGTATGCGAATGTGTTGAAGCCGATAACTGTGAACTTGTTGCTCTGCTCCGAGAATGTGAATGGTGAGTTGTTGAGGTTGGTTGTAGCACATGGATGAGATGCGGTGCGTCACCCGTATCTCACCTTGGAGCAGCGATATATCCAGCATTGGCATGGTGCCCAAAAAGGTCACGTTGGTGCCTGCGTCCGCAGAAGTCTTGTTGCAATCGAGCTCAAATCCTTTCATTGCACAGCCAGCACCAATCCCAAATGGGTATATAATTTCAACATCGCCGCACCATCTCTGGCAGCTGGAGCCTGGCAAAGCCACCACCGCCTTGCCTTGAAATTGCAGCAAAACTGTGAGGCTGAAGAGTAGAATTAGAAGCATAGGAACTGTATCAGTGGCGCTCTTGTAGTAGTACTTTCCTATGGGGTCTCACAATATTTGCTTCGATTCATGAGCACATATGACACACTCTATATATAGTACACACGGCGTGATGTTGAACCCTATGACGGGGTCATGCATATGGGCCCATGGCTATTATTTGAGTCCAGGTCAAGCATCTTCCAAGTTCAAACTTCCAACGCGTGATATGATGTTGAATCCTTTGACGGTGCCATGTCTATAGACTAAGCGTTTACTTTGCCAACCAGCCAGTCATTTTTATGCAAAACAAGATGACTGTTTGGCCCCCACCAAATACATGCTATAGTTTTGGACTTGGACCCTTCGACATGGTCATGATTGTTTTTTTTTTTTGAAAAATGCCTTCAGGCAAGCTTTCATTCAACTGATAACAATGTTACAGTATTGACAAGGCCTCATGAGAATTAAACAAAGTGTAAGCTACAAGCTACAGAGACCTACAATGATAGCGATGGAAGTATCATCGAGGAACCTTTCACCTCAACAAAATGGCACATACAAGTTTAACTAGAAGTCTACGCCTCTACGGTGAAGTCATGGCCTCATGTCCAGCTTGAGATAGACTCAACACTGCTGCAGAAGGCGATCCAATCCCCTGGAGAAGGATATGCACCGGGTGGAAAGTTAATTAATTACGGCAAGTAAACTGGCGTTGTCTTGTAGTTGGTCTCATACAGTGCCACGTAATTAAGACGACTTAATAGACTATATGTACAATGGTTGACTTTTAAGTTGTCTTATAATAACTCATAATTCTTTAATTTATGCATAGAATAAAAATGAAAGTTTGAGTTGCAACAACGGTACAATAGTTGTCACATAACCCTAAATTTTAGCTCATGAGATGGTTGTTTTGCGAAGCAATGACCTTCTTTCTCTCTCTTCTCTCTTTGCTCCACATCATCAAAAATCCTACGTGGCACTACATGAGACATAGTATGAGACCGTTGGCGTGTAGCAATGTACCTGCCCTCCCTTATTTGGAATAGAGAATGTGAAATTTTTATTTTACGTTGTCCATAGAAAACACTAAATATAATAAACGATTTAATGAATTTTGTAAAAAAATAAGATTTTTTAGTGTGTTGTCAATTTAAAGAATGAATGCATGGTTTTATTTTAAAAAATACAAGTTAATATGATCTGTTTTCTAGCATTTATGCCTTTGCGTTAGCTTTGTTGTGAAAATGAATTTTGAAAATTCGTTTACACCCCCAATAGGTTTTGTTCTGTGTTTGAAAATAAAGTTTAATCATTTTCTAAAATCAGTATTACGTGCATTAAAGTTAATGCAACAACATGAAATGTAACCAACAAGTTATATTAAATTATAAACATTTTATAAAATCATTTTTCTTTCACTCTCTAAATCGACAACATACTAACTAAAGCTTAGAATTTTTATAAAAATATTAAATTGTTTATTTTATTAGTATTTTTTATTCACATTTCAAAATAGAATTTTTTTCGGAGCGTGACAATGATCTTAAGTACCATGTATGGGTTTCAAACTCTTGAAACAAAGCACACATGGAGAGGGCTCCGGCTCACCCAGGACACGTAGGACTTTTACTTTAATCGGGGTCTGAACCTGGTAAAAATCCCTCATGCCCTTAGACCTGATCGGTAAGTTCTTGTCCTCCAAATCCCACTAGCTACTCAACAAGTAACTGTTCAAAAGCGTGCAGAGATAGGGGGAGGTGAAAGAGCCGATGCAGAGGCTGTGCAGAAATTGCCTTGTGCAGAGACACCCTTTTTCTTTGACAAGGGAAAACAATTATGGGATACCGCAGTTGTGGGACTCGGCCTAACCAAATGTCCTCCCAAGAAAAGACAAGGACATCCGTTCTCTGAAAGTGAACTGAAGCAGTTATGCATCTAAGATTAAGGATCTTTCTCTACCAGAAACACGCGCTACTATTTTGGACCCTTCGAGGCTTCGTCTCGGTCATGACTTTCTATTCAGCAACGCGTCTTCCTTTTCCAATTTCCAACTCAGGACAAAGATATTGATCAATCTGTATCGGTGCTGGGTGATAAACTTGTAAAGATGCTTAACTGAGCTTCAGCCGGCTTTAATACCAGCCGAACAAGCCCATAAAGGCCGGGGGCCACCCTTGAACTCTAAAAAAATATTGATCAATCCTTCCAGTGATGGCGATGGAAGTATCATCAGGGAAACTTTCACCAAAACAGAATGGACGCAGATGTGTTTAACTCGTCAAGTCCACGGTGGAGTCAAGGGATTGCGACATCTACAGTTTAGTTACTTTTGTCGATTCTCCCAAATATTCTTCACTCCTCATTGAACAACTATAACTTGCGACATCTGCATACGCCTATCAATTTTCCTTTGCAGTTTATCTATTTGATTATTCATTGATGCTTATACTTGGGTTATTTTCCAGTAATTATATTCACAGGATTTGGTCATAGTGGTATGGTATAACAATAATTAGAGTTTGTGGTAAGGAGATTTTTTACCGAGCCACATTAGTGGCGGTCTAGTCTATGAATTAATAGTCACCGGTATGTCTATATCTTTCGAGAAATGAACTTTTATAGGTTATGCACTTTTGTGTACAGGTAAAAAATGATATTAAAGTGGTTACATCAACTTGATGTAATTATCTTGAGTTTTTCTAATAAAATGCTTCCTTAAATATTTTTTTATAGATGTCCCAACTCATTCGTTAAGTTACCCCGACCAATTTGCCCAAAAAACCCAATCCATCATTTCGAGTCATGATTTTTGACGCAAAAACCAACAAAAAACTAACCCTAATCTGATCAGCTAGTGTGTTGGGTCAAGCTCGGCCCAAAGATTTTGACCCAAAACTTTTTCCCGTCCTGACCCGACCCAATGTTTGATCAAGTGTAACCCATTTACTTCCCATCTTATGCCTTGAGGTTGTTGTAGGGTGAGCTCTGTGATTAGTGATACACACCCAGAAATCACGTTCTACAAGCATAAACATGTGCTAGGCAATGGTCACCATTCACCTCCTTGCGACCTTTCCATAAAAAAGCCCATCTTATCTTATCAATTGCTTTGATTACCCACTTAGGAAAATCCAAAGCAAAGCCAATTGCAGCATGACTGTGAGGCTGAAAAGTAGCAGCAGAAGCATAGGCACTATATATCAATGGGGTTCTTGTAGTAGTAATAGTTGTTCATAGTGTGCTTTGGTGTGTTACGGTGTCTGTTTTGATTCATGAGCACACATGATAACCTTAACAGTCTCTCTATATACTAGTCCATCGTTTACATTAGTCTGTCAATGCTACGGTTTTAAACCCTTTGAATACAGTAATCTTTTGGTTTCAACTTGCATCTCAGGACAAAATTTTGGAGAATCAAACAACTGGATGCTAAACTTGCAGTCTGCTATCTTTGGTCAAGTCAATGAGTTAGTGCAAGTACAGTTTAGTTAACTCTCCAAAAACATCTTCTACTCCCATTGTACAATTCAAACTTGTGGCCAGCATCAAAAGTATTCCATTTCACTCACTCACTTGTCGCAAATTTATTTGAACCTGACAAGAGATTCCCTCAAGGCCTCAACTAGCTCCACAGCTCGGCAAAATTCAACGCACAGCTGCACAAGAGATGCCCTCAACTTGCCCTCACTCAAATAGGAGTTCGTACCAAAATTACGAGGTGCACACAGCAGAACGTCATCGCAAATTTTATTTAACATCTTTGACAAATTCTGCTACATACTGAAGGCGAGGAAAATCAAACTTTCACATAAATAAATGGCCAGTAGTCCACTGCACATGTTCATGATGGGCTCATGGGCCACACAAGTACTGTGGAATCTGACTAACTAAAGATTGCTTCTTGGAGATGTTGGGGCTGAAAATATAGGTACCAACCCAGCATAGCAGGCATAACCAGTGCGGAGTGGCCCACCAGCACCTACAACTCCACATCCTTCGGTCCTGCAGAAAAGAGTTGATCATACAACTACTCTCTCTCTCTCTCTCTCTCTCTCTCTCTCTCTCTCTCTCTCTCTCTCGTGATGTCCGCATTCAGATTTCACCGTTCCAGGTAAGGCCTTGTTTGGATATAGTCGGATTGTCATCAATCCATATGTGTTGGGGCGGATTGAAGTGGAACTTGAACTAAATTTCATCCTAATCCACCTCAACACATGTGGAATGAGGAAAATCCGACAATATCGAAACAACGCCTAAGGAAGACTGAAAACGACGTTAGAGGTCGCAAAAGAGAAACTTTCCCCAGTAATAACAGATTTTTCACCGCAAACGTAAACAACGTTTCCATTAGTGCTACTCAAGTAAATTAAATAACTATAAGTTCTCCCCAAGAAATGTTATTATGGAGTATGTATATATCCCTGAAACCAACAGACGTATATGTACACACACACACAAGACCATCACTATGAATATGTGGTATTGTGGTATGAAGGTGTGACAGCTGAAAACTCTAACGTCCAGACTCCAGCAGCCCTTGCACAATCCTCTTCTCCATGCTGAAATTTCCTGTGCCTATCATCTCCAAACTGACCATCGACGACTCCTCGAGCAGGCTCTCCATCTCTTCAGGAAGATGTTGCGCAGGCACCCATGGGTGCTGCATGACCTTGCTGAGCCTGTCCAGCTTCTCGGCCACGTCTCTCATTGCCGGCCGCCTCTCGCCAACCATCTCTAGGCACCGACTCGCAAGCTCCGCAACCTCCTCAAGCAACCCCATGTCGTTCTCATTCTTGATGCAGTCGTCAATGATGTCCATGAGTCTGCCTTCCTTCATAGCACATAAGAAGCGCAGTGAAAGGCTCCTCTCATTTTCAGGCCCTTCAAGGTTGAGTGCCTTCTTGCCAGTGAGAAGCTCCAGGAGAACGACCCCGAAACTGTAGACATCACTCTTATCCGTCAGCTGGCACGTCTGCATATACTCAGGGTCTAAGTAACCGCAAGTCCCTTGCACAAGTGTGACAAACTGAGACTCATCAGTCGGTGCCAGTATAGAGGCCCCAAAGTCTGATACCTTAGCTGCATAGTTCTTGTCAAGGAGTATATTGGATGATTTGACATCTCCATGAAGGATTGGAGGTGAAGCCCATGAATGTAGGTAAGCTAAGGCTGCAGCAGACTCGAGGGCAATGTGTAAGCGAGTTGAGAAGGGGATGTTGTGGCAGCCATTGCTACCATGGATGAACTGAAATAGTGTGCCGTTGGGGATGAACTCATAGACTAGCATCGGAACCTCTACCTCGAGGCAGCAGCCCAGTAGCTTAACAACGTTCTTGTGATTGATCTGGGAAAGGATTGACATCTCTTTGCCGAACTCCTTCTTTTGCTGCTCACTGGTCATTGATACACACCGTTTGACTGCGATTAGACTGCCTTCCTTGAGCATCCCCTTATAGACAGTGCCATGGCCACCACGGCCAAGGATGTTCCTGTTGTCAAATTTGTCTGTTGCATCAATGAGCTCTGCTTCTGTGAAGACGGTGAAAGCAGTTCCTTGATTTAATCTTATCTCCTGCAATAGAAGCATCCCACCATGCTGTTGGAAATACTTCCGCTTGATTTTGTCCAACTTCTTCCTTTCATGGATCAAGTATGTGCAGGTAATGGCTATGGCCACAATTGCAACCCCGATGCTTGAACCTGTGTGGTTTCCAGACAATCACTATCATTAAAATTTTTAACAAGATAATCAACTTGTGCTCCTACATGGGCTAGTAATTTGAGGCCCATATAATCAAAGCTGTTTATCTTTGCTCTCTCATTTGTTCATATTCTAATACACTATTCATACATGTACATTTTAATTTATACGGTCTGATACATTTTATTGCCAATTACATATATAGGCATTTGCATCACGATTTGTAGCTTTATCTTTGCATCACACAACCCTATGTCGTGCATGGTGAGTTGGTGACACACATCATGCTATTTGAGATATTTTTTATATATTAACAATGGCATAAGTGGGCAATCTAGAAGCATATATAAAGTATTTTATAGGTAAACTTTAGATGAAAGTTTGGGGGTTACTCCATCTGTCCTGAAATATAAGGTATTGAAGCATTCAAAATTTGTCCCAAATTATAAGGTATTATAGGTGAATTAACTCCCTCAAAGTCCTAATCATATACGGACCTACCATTAGTGTCTACCACCAGGCTCAAAATATGTTAAGCACAAAGCCTCTATATAGTTAAAGGAGGGTTACATGCGTCATTTGCATTACCTCATAATTTGTCCTACAATTCCTAATATACCTTAATTATATTTCAGGACAGAGGGGGTACTAGTTTAGATACAAATTTAGAGATGCTTTAGATTGTATTTAATAACGACATATATGGATAACTTAGATGAAAGTTTAACGGTTTAATTAGCTTTAGGTGTTTTTCATAATGGTAGAGGTGAGAAATTTAGATACAAATTTAAGTCTATGGTTAGATTAGACTATTTTTTTATAATGGCAGAGATGTATATTTTTTTAGAAAAAAATAGATCCAATAGCTATATTGTCCATGATGATTAGAGTCTATCCAACTGATAATTGTATGTTCATGCTCCTGTGACAACTTTTATTATTTTTATTTTAGTTCCCTAGTGTGTCTCATGAAAATCAGTGGCTCTGAAATATGTCTCTAATTAATAGTGGTATAAGATGTGCAAACACGTTTTTCTCAAAGATAGAAAAGAAAAGTGTGTTTTACCCACAACTAGTGCCACAACGTTCAAGGATCTCGGACAAGAGTAAGCTCCAGGTGTGTTCTTGCAGCCAGCACATGGAGGTGGTTTGGCAGCACACTCATTGATATCTGCATACAGAATATGGTACTTAGATCTCAAGGACTGCATAAATATTTTCTTCTAAGGAATTCTTTGTGTACTTGTACACATGAATCAAAAGGTATACTTGCAATACTGACCTTGGCATCCATGTGGAAGGTAAGGGTTGCCCTTGTATCCTTTGGTGCAGTTGCAGAGGTAGCCTCCACTGCTGGAATTAACGCACATGCTGTTAGTGCTGATGCAAGCATATGAATCATTTTTCTTCATCGCGACATCGCAAGTCTCATCGCCCACTTCCCAGTTCAAGATGGCTGGGACACGGCCGTCATCATGCTCATCCAAAAAGGCTGTTGTGTTTAGATATGTTGTTTTGAACTGGAATGCGTCAGTCTCCATAACCACAGCATAGCCTTGGTACTCTGCCCTGTCTGCGGTGCTTCTGTTGGTATAGTAATCTGTCGTGTTGTAAAGTGAACTGAAAGACACATCATCATCGTACATGTCCACGGGGAGTGGAACCCGACACCACCCGGCACCGAAATACTTCCCATCTTGTGACTTGAGGTTGCTGTTGGATGAGTTCTTTGATACACACCCAAAAATCACATTCTGCATGCATAAACATGAAGATTCAACTTATTAGCAGCCTAAAACGTACCCAGTCCATTGCACCGAAGAATTAAAGCATACAGCTATAATCAAAAATCAATTCTTGTTATAAATTGAGTCTACTCACATAATTGTATGTCATGAATGCGAAAGTGTTGACACCTATAACCGTAAACATGTTGGAGTTCCCTGAATATCTAAATGGCGTGTTGGAGAGATTCCTGCCCCATATACTGTAGTGTATCTCCTTGGTCGAGCGATTGTAGAACATGGATGAGATGTGTTTCATGATCCGAACCTGGCCATCGAGCAGCAATATATTCCGCACTAGAATTACACCGAAGACCGTTAAGAAGCTGCGGCCATCCTTAGTATTGTTGCAGTTGAGCTCAAATCCTTTCATTGCACAGCCATCACCAACACCGAATGGGTATTGAATCTCAACATCACCGCAGTGCTTCAGGCAGCTGGGTCCTGGCAAAGCCAATGTCTTCGCTTGGAATTGCAGTATGACTATGAGGCTGAAGAGTAGCAGCAAAAGCATAGGTACTGTATCAGTGGAGTTCTTGTAATAGTAGTACATAGTGTGCTATGGTGTGCCACAATTTCTGCTTTGTTTGATCAGCACACGGCTCATTAGCCTCTATATATATACTGGTGCAGCGTTTACTTTGTTAGTCAGCCAGCCTTATTTTATTTTATTTTTAGCTGCAAAAGGTTCCAAAACCATGCCATGGGTCCGTTCGACTTGCTGAATCTTGATTGAAATTGGCTGAAAAACACTGTTTTTGCTGAATTATTGTGAGAGAAAAAGCACTGTTCCGCCAAAAAAAAAAAGCCGAATATGGGGTAAGCCGAACGGGGCCATAGCATGATTTTGGAACCTTTTGACAAGGTCATGGCTGTCTAATTTCAATCAAGCATCTTACAGTTTCAACTTCAACATCAGGAATAAATATCGGAGAATCCGTCAAGGGAATCAAATAACTATATGCTACAATGATGGCTATAAAGAAAAGGGTTAAGTCCAATTTACACCCTCCAACTTGCAGCAAAGTTCGGATTTCAATCTCGAACTTCAAAACCGGACAACTTTGGCCCTCCAACTCTCGAAAAAGTTCAACTTTCAACCTTCTGGGCGGTTTTGTGGGTGAACAGTAACTTTTGATATTTTAAGGAATTTCTTGAAATTTTATATTATTTTTTTTCGAGCATCTTAATGTCCTCAAATGAAAAAATTTCGCTATGAAAGTTGTAGATCTCATCGAGGTCTACAATTTACATATAATAATTATCTTCATCCGACATCGTAGACCTGAAGGGATTTACTATTTTTGAAATTTGAGTCTCATCATTTGATAAAATATGATGCTGAAAAAAATAATATTATTTTTCAGAGCATCTTTTTTCCTCAAATGAAAAAAATTTCAAAACAACAAAGTTGTAAATACGATCTCGATGAAGATAATTTTACATATTAAAATTAATTATCTTTTTGAAATTTGAGTCATCCGACATCGTATTGAAGGGTTGTAGATCTTCATGAGATCTACAACTTTGTAGTTTTGAGTTTTTTCAAATTTGAAACGTTAAGATGCTCGAAAAATAATATAAAATTTCGAGACTCCTTTCCAAAAAATATCAAAAGTTACTGTTCACCCGCAAAACCGCCCAAAAGGTTGAAAGTTGAACTTTTTCGAGAGTTGGAGGGCCAAAGTTGTCCGGTTTTGAAGTTCGAGGTTGAAATCCGAACTTTGCTGTAAGTTGGAGGGTGTAAATTGGACTTAACCCTAAAGAAAATGGTGGCGATGAAAGGGTCGTCATGAGAACTTTCACCTAAGAAAATGGGTGGTGGCTATGTGCATCCCTAATTGGTGCAAAGGCCAAAATTATATGTCTGTCGCACATTTGAACCTCTAGCCTATATACAGACAAGCCATATAACTTATGAAGTCTGTGGTGAAGTCAAATAGTCTCTCCCAAAACACTATTCAATTCTCATTGAACAATTCTCATAAATTTAGTTTGATCGGACAAGAGGTTCCTCAACTAATAGTTTGGTACAGTATTCACAAAGATCAAAAGGTTGCAGATGTGCAATAGAATAGCCATGCATGTAGGTACACGACTTGTGTTGCTAAGATGTTGCTGTCCAAGTTTCCATCTTAAAAAAAGGCCTGCTGTAAGGGGTCGTTTGGATCCCATCATTTTGGAGGAATTGAAATTTACATAATGGATTAGGCTACTTGGATTGAAATTTGACATTCCATAAATTTTTCAAGCTAACAAATAAGCCTATTTCAAATTCATAGGGTGAGAGATGAAAATTGATTATATAGATTATTATGCTATAATTCTACTATCCAACTTATAGCACATTCTTCAACTCACTTCTCTATAATAAAAAAACAACATATAAGTATGTCCCTTACATGTCTAACAATAATATATACAAATATATTCCATATACAATTATATTAACTTAATTAATCTATGTCTAAATTATAATTATTAGAATGAATTCAATTTCAAGGATCAAAACGGCCCCAAGTGTAATTGCCACATCTACTTCTACTAAGTCTACAATGCAACTAATTCGTATTAGGTGTCTACTTCGATGCAGAGATGTGGTTTGAATTGGCTATTAGGTCCAAAAATATAGAAGTCACGGCGTGACGCCACACTACTTAATTCAATCAAGGCAGGAACCATTCGACCCGCTAGTTTTTCTAATCTCCAACCCGGTGCCCACACACACCGACTGGCCGACTGGGAGCAAAGTCCAACCCACCCCTTGGTCCAACCCGTAGTTTTGGTGGTTTGGGATTCGCTGTAGAGAATGTTTTTTTAGAAGTTTACAGTGGATCTGGTGGAGTAGAAAGAGCCAAACCTCACGCTCTTTGTCGCCACTCGCCACCGCTGTTGTCACCCCGCGTCTGGCCAGTCATCACCTCCGGACGGCGAGCCCGCCCGCGTTCCACGCGACGTCATATCCTCCGTATTCCTCTAGACTCCGACTTCGCATCCACGCGCGGCGCGCGGGCATGGGCATCGCAAGTCGCAGGTCTTCGGCAGACGGCAGCACGTGCCCGTGCTCGAATTTAACTCGCCGTTGGGAATCGGGGATTTGGGACCATCGCCGCCCGAGCCCGATGGATGGTTTGGATACCGGCCAATCTTCCGGTCCGACCGGTCGGCCGGAAGCAGCGTGCCGACACTGCTTCACGGGCTTCTATTGGGCTGCA